AATCAGGGCCACAGTTAAAAAGTAATAACTGTTTATGTAATAATCAGGGCCACAGTTAAAAGTAATAACTGTTTATGTAATAATCAGGGCCACAGTTAAAAAGTAATAACTGTTTGTGTAATAATCAGGGCCACAGTTAAAAAGTAATAACTGTTTGTGTAATAATCAGGGCCACAGTTAAAAAGTAGTAACTGTTTGTGTAATAATCAGGGACACAGTTAAAAGTAATAACTGTTTGTGTAAAAATCAGGGCCACAGTTAAAAGTAATAACTGTTCGTGTTATAATGAGAGCCACAGTTAAAAGTAATAACTGTTTGTGTAATAATCAGGGCCACAGTTAAAGGTAATAACTGTTCGTGTTATAATGAGAGCCACAGTTAAAAGTAATAACTGTTTGTGTAATAATCAGGGCCACAGTTAAAAAGTAATAACTGTTTGTGTAATAATAATACATTTAAAATTCTTGAAAAGTTACTACCATTTAAATGTGATCATTACAAAAGATCAAACAGTATGAATATTAAAAACGAATGATTTATTAAAACCTCATCATTTTGCTGCAACAGAAACAAAAATAGTCTAAGTCTGCTGAACAAGCACAGATTTTTGAAGTCAATGTACAGGAAATGTTATTAGTAATGTGCTCCAAGATCACTTCAGCTGAACTTCTCTTCAAGGTTCAATTTCTCCCAGGAAAATTTGTTTATCGCTTGAACATGAGAGTACTAGAAAGATCAAACCAATGATGTAATTACATCTAACAAAAATTTATACTGTATCAAATATTTGAGGTTCAATAAATGTTAATGTACAAATTAAAAACGCAATAAATTTCTTTGAATTTCACTATTGGCAATGGATTTTATAAGATGTGAAAATCAAGTTGGGAAATGTTTCTATTAAAAAAAAAACTTTGTTAAAAATCACATAGAATTGAAAGATCTTCATAGTCACAATTCCCCAAAATCCTGTTGTAATTTGTTAAAAAAAAAGCCTTAATATAAATTCTGTAAAATAAACAATTATCCTTCAATACAACATTAACTGCTGATAATTAAGCATTAATAATAATGAATTAACAGTGGAAATCAGTATTAAAAAACTATTTTTGATGAGAGTTGTAAGTGGCCACAGAATCAATGTACTTGCTTTAAACATGCTGTAAGGGATTATTAAAGACACTTCAATTAAAAAAAAAGTACATAAAAAATATTAACTTTTTTTTAAATGTCTAATCTAAAATAGTAGCAAGCTAATGTTTTCTCAAAGTCCAACTAACCTATAGGTTCCTCGGGATGAAATACAACTTCATTTACAGATCCATTATGACCAGGCAACTTGTACAGAATTCTTCGAGATGTAGTGTCCCAAATATACACAAACCTATCAGAAGATCCAGAAGATACCTTACTGCCATCTGGTGCCCAACTACAGCGTAGCAAGTTCTTTTCAAAATTGTGCTGATGACCCTGGAAGATTTTCAAGCACCTTTCTTGGGGAGCAAACGGACGGATGTCCCAGATTCTTACTAACAAAAACAAAAAAAAAACTTCAATTAAGCCCAAATAATTGCTAATTAATTCTGATTCTTAATACGTTAAATATATTGAATTCATTGCTGCATGGAAAGTTCTTTCGTTCATTATCTTATCTAAGTTGCAAATCAAAACGTACTGCTGTAATACAGATCATAAGAATTTATATCTAGACCAATAACTCGTTTACCATTGAGAATTGTTTAACACAAAACTCTTTAGTAGCCAGACATTAATTTGTTTTCACAAATTCCACCCCACTGTTTTTATTACTTTTATTCCAACAATGGAAAACAAATATAAGTAGATACTAACTGTGACATTAATGAATTTACTATGAAACCGTTAATGTATCATGAAACATATACATGTAAATATTAACAGTGGTACTAGTGACCGATACTAGATCTGATATCATCTAATGTACTATTGGTGATTAATTTGGGTAAAAAGAAGTTATGTTTGTAGCTTTTAATATTACTATTACCATTAAACTGTAGTGGAGTAAATAAAAAGTGTAACAGATTGATACTGAATCAAAAGACCTTGTTTTGTCCTTTTATTAAAGAACAGTATGTACGAAACAAACACACGTATGTGATTTAACAGGACGACAGTGATGTAATTAAAACAATATTGGGTGCTTGTGATGAAAATATTTCATAAATAGTATATTAGTGAAGTGAATGAACGTGTTTCTTAAAAAGAGAATTAAACATCAGTTGGGATCAGCTGAAGGTATTCCTACTTACAAGAATTGTCCATAGCATTAGAAAGCACGTAAGACCCATCTGGACTTAGAGATAGCCCTGTGACTGTATCAGTGTGACCTGGCATTTTGTAAAGAACTCCATTTTTCCTCAGATCCCAAACCTAAAAATGCACAAAATACTGTACTTTAATACCACCTATGCAGAAAAAATTGAGAACAAATAAGACCATTATGTACTAAATAAAAATCATGATATGAACGTATAAGATCATGATTTGAACGTATAAGATCATGATTTGAACGTATGAGACCATGATATGAAGGTATGAGACCAGGATATGAAGGTATGAGACCATGATATGAAGGTATGAGACCATGATATGAAGGTTCATATCATGGTCTTATAGGTATAAGACCATGATATGAACGTATAAGACCATGATATGAAGGTATAAGGCCATGATATGAACGTATAAGGCCATGATATGAACGTATAAGGCCATGATATGAACGTATAAGACCATGATATGAACGTATAAGACCATGATATGAAGGTATAAGGCCATGATATGAAGGTATAAGGCCATGATATGTACGTATAAGGCCATGATATGTACGTATAAGGCCATGATATGAACGTATAAGGCCATGATATGAACGTATAAGGCCATGATATGAACGTATAAGACCATGATATGAACGTATAAGACCATGATATGAACGTATAAGGCCATGATATGAACGTATAAGACCATGATATGAACGTATAAGGCCATGATATGAACGTATAAGACCATGATATGAACGTATAAGGCCATGATATGAACGTATAAGACTATTCATTTTCTCATAAGTAAACTATTCAAGGAAACCAGCCATATGTTGGTTGTATTTATTAACAAAACTGCTCTGAAACCAGCCATATCTTGGTTGTATTTATTAACAAAACTGCTCTGAAACCAGCCATATCTTGGTTGTATTTATTAACAAAACTGCTCAGAAACCAGCCATATCTTGATTGTATTTATTAACAAAACTGCTCTGAAACCAGCCATGTCTTGATTGTATTTGTTAACAAAACCAAACATGTCCTGACTGTATCTGTAAACAAAACTGCCCTGAAACCAAACATGTCCTGACTGTATCTGTAAACAAAATTGCCCTAAAACCACCTACATCTTGGTTGTATCTGTTAACAAAACTGCCCTGAAACCAAAAACATGTCCTGACTATATCTGTAAACAAAATTGCCCTAAAACCAACCATGTTCTGACTGTTTCTGTTAACAAAACTGCCCTGAAACCAAAAACATGTTCTTACTGTATCTGTTAACAAAACTTCCCTAAAATTAACCATGTTCAGGTTGTATCTGTTAATGCAACTGCTCTGAAACCAGTCGTGTTTTGATTGTATCTGTAAACAAAACTGCAATGTAACCATGCATGTTCTACTTGTGTTTCATAATAAGACTTTTCTGAAACCAGCCATGGCCTATTCTATAGTTCCCGATAAAACTTTCCAGAAGTCATCCATAAACTATTCTATAGTTCATTATAAAATTGTCCAGAAATCAGCCATAAACAATTTTATCGTTTATTATAAAACTGCCCTGAAGCCAGCCATAAACAATTTTATCGTTCATTATAAAACTGCCCTGAAGCCAGCCATAAACAATTTTATCGTTCATTATAAAACTGTCATAAAGTCAGACATGGCCTGTTCTCAAGTTCATTATAAAACTGTCATGAAGTCAGACATGGACCTGTTCTCAAGTTCATTATAAACTGTCATAAAGTCAGACATGGCCTGTTCTCAAGTTCATTATAAATCTGTCATAAAGTCAGACATGGCCTGTTCTCAAGTTCATTATAAAACTGTCATAAAGTCAGACATGGCCTGTTCTGTAACTCGTAATAAAACTGTTTTGATAAACGTTTTACTGGACAATTCATGAGCTGTTTGTAACTCCTGATAATATTTTGCTGATACTTGTCATGACCCATTTGATATAAATAGATGTCTGACTGTGAAACAAATTGCTCTAACAATGAACAATGAAACTAGAACAGAGATACATTGTGACTGTATCGTTTTCCTTTCTCTATTTATTGTTCTAAAAAAATACTTGAAAAGAGAATGCTTCTCAGAATCTGAAGTCCTAGAATGACTGGCATAAAACTTCACACATGACATTACAAGAAAGTCGAACTATTAACCCAGTAATCTAGTGACTGTTGGCCTGTATGAGATATCTGTCACAAGTTAAGCATTTCTGGACATACAATACATATCAGATATATTTTCACATTGGATTCTATGATTCTAACAGCACAAAGTGTAAGAAAAAAAACAGCTTTAGTAAGCATAAACAGATATTAACACAGTACATTTGTACTGAGTGAAAGCAGTACTGAAAAGTTTATAATAAATTAGGATGACTGCTCGTTGATTCTACAATTCAATTACTTTAAAAGTTAAGATTTAATGAATTGATAATACAGGTTTTCAAGTAATCATATGGACATTTACCACAATTCTTCAAAGGTCTCCCACACATCTTCTTATACAGTGTACATTTATTTGAAAACAAAAAGCCTGAAAGAACAAATTCCAGTTATTTTTGTGTTCAGGTCAAGTTAATTTAATATCAGTCATCCCTGAGTTCCCCCCCAAAAAAATAATATTCCAAAACCTTATTTCAATAAACACCCTAACATACTTGTCCTGATTTCTTTCGAGTATGTACATACAAAAGATTCAATTTTCACGGTGTTTTATGACAAGTTTTTTCCAAAACTGACATTCATCAAGTTTATCCTACATGAAAAAAACTAATTTAATTCCCCCTTTCTTTTTCAGATCAATTTACTACAGTGTTGTAAGTGGTGAAAGGTGTTTTTCAATCTAAGTTTATATGTTTTTTTTATCCAAACTACAATCTTCTACATCCATCATAATGAATAAAACTGATTTACTAAACTTATGGCAGGAAATAAAAGATGGAAGAGTATTACTCCGAAAATATCATCAGGTCTCATTATTAATATTTCAAATTATGTAAACTCAGTCAAATCAAATTTCATAATTATAACAGTCTCTCAAAGGTAAACTATAGCATGGATATTTGTTAATAATAATGTGTAATATAGAGAATAAAACTATCAAACATTAAGTTTATAAGGCCAAGCAGTTACAGCCAAATTAGAAAAAGCAGCAAATATTCTGTTACTTCAATAATTACAAATATTAAATAAACTTTTGTTATCTAACTCAAAATAGTTAAAATAAAAGTTATGTGTTTTGATAATTTGAAAAAAATTGATATTATTTTAAATTTTGTGAATTTTTTTTGTCACTGAACTTGATGATAATGAGGCCAGCTTAAGCCTAATTATCCAAGTAAACCCACTGTTGTATTACGAGTATGTATAGTTGAATGTTCATTTTCTTTAGACGTTTTAATACAGTAAGGAAGGTTTCTTCATTAGGTAAGCTGTCCAGAAATACATAGACCACACGCTCACCTTCACAAGGTTATCAATACCGCTTGTAATGATCTGTTCCGCCGTGTCGTTGAAGGTGATTGCAGTGACTTGATACGTTTCTTGGAATGTATGAACTGCTCCCCTCTTTCTGTAATCCCAAACCTAAAACAATAAATTCATAAATCACATCACCGAGAGAAAATACTTGCATGTATCTAATTTATGCTGTTTACCATAACATCTTAAAACTAAAAAAAAACTTTAAAGAAAACTATCTACACAGTTTTTTCTTTAAATCCAATAGTTTGATTAATACAATTTCCTGTTAATTATTCACAAATCTACTTTAAATGATTTGGAAAAGAATCTGACCATTACAGTTCTATTTCTCAGTCATTTTAATAGAGGAGCTCCGACTATGAGTCAAGGTATCTTCTTGAATCAAGAAAAACATTTGGATTTATATCTTTGGGCAAAATGTGATTTTAAGTGTAGTTTTGCATCAAAGTGGCTTTGTCGTAAGTGGAGATTACATTCATATTATTCTGATATAAATATTTTTTCTACTTCCGTACATCTCCCTGTTTTCAATGTGAACTTATAATCAGCTCCTTAGATGTGAACTAATACAGGTTCTGTTAAATGTGGAAGTAAGTGTATATTTTAATTCATAAACAATTAAGCCTAGGGACAATTAAAGATAAAATTACATTTTTGAACTGTTCACATCAAACAGCTTTACTGTAGAAGAAAGAGAAAAACTAGAATACAAAAACGTTTTTTTCTAAAGTCTGAGTAAGTAGGTATTTTAATTTAGAAATAGCATTTGATCTCTGATCGTTTAAAATGGTATTTGATCTCTGATCATTTAAAATAGTATTTGATCTCTGATCATTTAAAATAGTATTTGATCTCTGATCATTTAAAATAGTATTTGATCTCTGATCATTTAAAATAGTATTTGACCTCTGATCATTTAAAATAGTATTTGATCTCTGATCATTTAAAATGGTATTTGACCTCTGATCATTTAAAATAGTATTTGATCTCTGATCGTTTAAAAATACATTAAAAAAAATGCCTAAGGATTCAAGTTGAACAAAAACATTAACTTACAGAGAAATACAGTTGTGTTTATCCAACAAGATGGTACAAGTATTTTGGTACTTGGTCATAATAAGCTGTAGAAGATCAACAAACAGACAGACTCCTATACTAGATTCACAACTATTTTCACTTTGCCTGAACAGTGACAGTCTTAACTAATTAGCAATCCAACTCAACAGACTAAAGATCTGATAAAAATCATGATGAACCTGTCCAAATAGAGATTATTTGAGAACTGATCCTCTATAAATTCCATCACTTTTTTGGAATGAAACAAACACGAGTTCACTGTTCTCATACTTACATGTCCAACTAAACAAGACTGAAAAATGCAAAAGTAAAAAATGTGTTGAAGTAACAATGGCACTACTGCTATTAATAAGCATAAGTACAAGGCTGAGAGCATAACGAAAATAACAAATTACTAAAAATTAAACATCTGACACCCCTCAAGAATCAGCTGTGATATAATTTACAACTGACTGCATGTGAAACATGTCAATGGACCCAGATGCTGAGATAGACAATAGATCAAAAGTGAACATGAAGAAAAGCTTGGAAGTACATAAAATATTAGTTCAGGCTATTTTGCATATGATACAACTGTAAAGTAAATTATGACATGAGATGCGATAATGCATTAATAATCACTGGTTTACTGCTACTTCTAAACACTTACCTTAATAGTACAGTCGTCACTACCACTGCATACAAGCTGAGGTCCTCGTCTAGCAACATGACAACAGTTGACATAGGAGGTGTGGCCTCGAAATTTCTTCATCCTAATACCCACCTCACAGTCCCACATACTAACTGTTTTATCTGTTGAAGCTGTGAATATGTTCCTGACAAAAACCATCATCAGAGATTAAAAGTTCAAGTGTTATTAAATATCATACTTTATTATCACAGAACCTGTAAGCAGTAAGTATTAGTGACACAGAACCTGTAAGCAGTAAGTATTAATGACACAGAACCTGTAAGCAATAAGTATTAATGACACAGAACCTGTAAGCAGTAAGTATTAATGACAAACAAAGCAGTGAAATAATACCCAAAAATATTGTTCTTTAAACACATCTCTAACAAACTTAGGATACTGTATGTAAAATCCTTTAATAATTAAAAAACAGAAATTTGGCAACAACAAATTTTAATTAGCAACACAAGTCAAACATACATTAAAGTGTATAATACTTTTTACTCTGACTTTCATGTTACTTTATACCAATTCCAATCAGAAGTTTCCAGATTCTACACCAAACCACAATATTTATTGACATTATTTTTTAAACATTAAGTACCAAGAATAAAGTTTCAAATTAAAGCCAATTTGTGAAAAACACAAATTCTTGTTTTATTTAGAAATGACAATAACTTGTGTAACATCACAGTAATCAACACCTATGAAATTAAATATCAGAAGGTGCTATTTAATATTTAAGGTATATTATGTCAATAGCAACCATCAGTATACCATACAGGCATACAAACCTAACTGTCTGCTTTATCGAGTGCCCATATATAGAGAAGGAGACTAAAGACACTGCCCTTATTCAGGAATATCGAGGTGCCCGTTATTGCAAGATTTATTTTGGTTACGAATAGTAGAAAAAAGAGAGAGACTGAAAAGGTCTGCCCTTAACGGCACAGTGGCCGTTAATCGAAGTTCTACTGTATTGGAATTTTTCATAGATTCTTTACACATTCTTTTTCATTTCTATAACAAAACATCAAGTATGCCTTGTTAGGTTTAGAGGGTACTGTAACAATGGCACAATATTCTGGTGACACAGCCCATTCTTCATTAAATAATTTATAATATTCAGACAATGAAAATCAATAAGATAACTTAGAATTCATTAAAACAAAGTATACAGGATGTGACAAAAGTTACTATATACTTGGTACTATACGGTTGGTATTCTATGGTAGGTACTGAAGAAAATGTTATGAAGACAATTCAAACCAATTCAATTAATATTTGTTTCAAAGTAACAGAAATTAAACTATGTTCTAAATGAAAAAACTGTATAGAGTATTTGCCCGAATATAATGCACACACACCCAATTTTGAAAGGTTAAATTGAAGAAAATTTGATTTTTTACACATCAGTTGTACAACTATCGATGTATTAAACATTTTTTGGAAATCTTTCATTGAAAGTTTTTTTACGTGTAAATTATACACAATTTCTTGGAAAGTTTAAATACACTAAGCTAATCATTCATCTTCACATACATCTTCATCATTTATACACAATTTCTTGGAAAGTTTAAACGTGGTAATACGCTAAGCTAATCATTCATCTTCACGTACATCTTCATCATTGTTAGAATTGTCGCTACCATCACATTAATCGAATTTACTTCCTTGAACCTTTGCTTCCTCTTCTTCTGATTCCCACAGCATGTCATCATCCATCTCATCAACTGCATTGGATATGCAACATTTTCTGAAGTCTTTAATGATTTTTGGTGGTGACTTTTAGTCAAATACCTAACAAAATTGAACCCGTGCAAATACGATAAGCACTTGATTTTTCAGGAGGTATTGTGTGCATTATATTTGGGCAAATACAGTAGTCACCTTTGCCCCAACCTTTATTTAAAAGATATAAATTGCTTTTGACCTACATTATTGTTAGGTTTGAAAACTTTAATGAAACAAGATTATTATTAGCAAAAACACAGTCAACTAGCCTGACCTTTTCTTCCAAAAAAACAAGTGTGTTACAACAAAATCTTATAAAGTTTGTGGTATAAAAAATGGTAAAAAAACTAAATCAAATTATACAATTTTTTAAATTAGATACTGCTTAATAGGTTTGTCCTACATTTCATGCAATTTGGATTAGTATTTGATTTGTAAGAAGGAAGAAAATCAAGGGACATTAGTGATCTAAAAGGGTTAACATAGCTTGTACGTGTCCAATGAATATTGTTCTACACAAGTTCTTGTATTAAATCTAGTGCTATTTATGGATACCTTTATCCTTTTTTTTTGTTTTCAGTGCAAGGATGGGGGTTAAAGTGCACATGTCATGCCCTTTTCCAGAGTGCCATTAAACACTGCATTATGTATTTGATATCAGAATCATCAACTATTCTACCCTACACTGATTTAACAACAGTTCATAGTAGAGGAGAGTGAATATTAAATGCTAAAAAAACAAAAACTGCATATGTGCATTTTTGAGGTTCTATTGGTTGTGAAAGTGCAATACGAAGACTTTACAGTGGATAAAAGTAATTCTATTCTACCCACGAACATTACTTTGCTCTGTGATTTGTCAAAATCTAAGATATTCCAAGCACAAATACTTTTGTAACACAACTGATTTTCCTTATACAAAAGACTTGTACATTTTAATAACGAGCTTATCACATCTTGTGTAGATACACGAAGTTCATTCAGGATTACAATCAATATTCCTTCTCAAATATGGGGGTCAGTTCAATAGATCAACTCTACTCACAATTAGTTAAGTGAAAGGCATTTGGAAAAATAACTAAGAACAAAATAGGTATCTCATGGTGCAGTAACACAATTTATAATTGTTTGTATAAAACAAACATAGTTGTCACAATCAAAGTACAAGTAGGAAAGGTTTCCTTACACCTATACAAAAACTTACATTCCATCTGTTGAAAAATGAAGGTCAAGAAGTGCTCCAGTGTGGCCAGACATTACAGCAAAGTTCTCGCAATCTCCGTAGGTGTTCCAAAGAACTTAAGATAAATAACACTGACTGAAAACTATCAAATTAGCACCACTGTAATATCATCATGCCTTAGATATATATTCATGGAAATACTACAATACTCACAGCTTTAAGAAATGTTAAAAATATTATTGGAAACTACAGTCAAAATACTCAAAAATATAAGGCTAAAAACAATATGTAACAACAGTTATAAGGATAAAAAACTACATGTAACAACAGTTATAAGGCTAAAAACTATATGTAACAACAGTTATAAGGCTAAAAACTCTAACAAGAGAAACAATAGCAGCCAAATATAAGTTCTAAAATTATGACAATGAAGTTACAATAGTTTTAAACTCAAAATTATAGCTGTCTTGTATCAGGAGACCACGAAGAATCATAAATCTCAAAATATAGTCTGTTATCTTAAATATAACAAACTAAGTGGTAAATGTTGTTCCTTAGTATACTAAACTTATATATTACTGTAAACTCTTAACTACTTACACTTAGAATGCATTCTTAAAACTTTTCTCCGAGTATAATTTCCAGTCAAATTCAAAGTTATTCATAACAATTCATTACACAGGAGATATCTTGTAAACCTGACAAACAAAGACAGATTCTTTATAGTGAAAAACAAATTGTCTTTTAGCTGGTCTGTCTACTAATATTTAGTGCCCTACTCTTGCAGCTTTATAAGGTGCTTAAAATACCACCAAAAGATTTGATTTGTGTTTAAATTTTGAAGTGGAATGGCTGCTTAAAAGTTCAGGAGGATTTAGGTTTTTAAGAGATAATATGACAGTTTTTAGGGCGATCCAGAAATATTCAATGAGTTATACATGTAGTATACTCGTAAACAATTTCATAATTTACACATCATAAAATTTAATTTTCAGCACTGGCTTCAATCTATCTTTTATATTTCTAAAATTTAAGAAGTTAGTTTTCCTACAGTAAATGTTTTGAACCATTTAGTGGCTGGAATGCTTTGTGGTATGAAGTTCCTGAATAATGTTTGATGTTTTTCTGACAAACTCCAATTTCACACTAAGAATTCAATACAGTTTCTGAAGCAAACATCACAAAGTAGCTCAAGATGTTAACATAAGAAACTGACCATTTATAGCATATGTGGTCCTTGAAACAATCAGAAAGATAGTGTCTAAATAAGTTTGTAATGTTACAAGTTAGACAAAAAAGGAAAAATCCAAGAACAAAACTTTGACAGTAGCATCGTGAAAAGGGCAGGAACACTGCTGAGAAATATATTGTTTATTTGAGGCATTATTGAAAATGTTCTGATGTTCTCTTGGAATTTCATACATTCTTTAGGATCACTGACCATTAAGTGGGTAAGATTCACGTGCTGGAGAAAATGGCAGACGTTGAAAGATTTCTTAACTGTTCAGTCTCCTCAGTACGATTCTATACATGGCCGTTAAGACCAACCTTTTACTCAATTTCCTTTTTGATAACTCAAAGGAATTTCAATATAACAAACAAGTGCACTTTTAAAACAGTAAAGCCAAAAGTGAACAACTATAATATGATAATGGTTGGAGATGACTTGAATGGGTAATGAAGACAAACTTTAATATAAGTTTAACATAACAGCAAATGTACAACGTTTTCGACAAAGTTTAACCTGATGATGACAAAACCTTGTCAAAACATAGTACATTTGCTGTTATGTTAAACTTATATTAAAGTTTGTCTTCATTACCCATTCAAGCCGTCTCCAACCATTATTAGTCTCAAAGTTGGTTCCTCGTCATCGAACTATAATATGAGCTTCCTGAAAAGGAGAAAAAAGTAACAAACCCACAGTTACACAGTGTCTGGCCTGGCATGCTACTGAAAGAACTATAATTAAAAGTATATGTATTTTCAAATATGATTTTTCCATTAATAACATGTACTGAAAGTTTTGTATTACACATGTATAAACAAGTGCTTATATTTACAACTGACATTTTGAAGGCTAGCTTTACTCCATACAATATTGAAGGCTAGCTTTACTCCATACATGTTCTCAATATTATAAGTACATATGCTGGTGATGTGTATGTACATTGTTACTTGGAGAAACAAAAAACATTATATATATTGAATAAAATCATAAATTTGGGTTTTAAAGGTTTTTACTTTTTATTCTCGACCACTAATCATCCAACATCAGGGAAAGATAAAGACTTAGATTAGTTACATGAAGTTTACATAAAGGGCTGGTTGGATAAAAACTATGGTAATTAGACTCAAAGAAATTCTTAAATACAAACAACATAATGTTTTTCAATTCTGAAAAAATGAATAATACTGTCCAATCAAAAGTATATACAATAACAACTTAAGTTTTAATAATTACACAATTAAACTTACAGATCTGTCGATCAAATCCTGCCGATGCCAAGAAAGTACCATCTGGTGAGAACTTACAGGAAAATATTTCTCCTTGATGTCCAGCCAACAACATAATAGGAGCATCTAAGCTGGATGTTCGAGGAGGACCCTGTAAAAAAAGTAGTTTTTTTTAAATATTGGTTATCTATAAATAAAATTAAATAGTAAAGAGAACCAAATAACACATAATGAACTCTCATGAATATACAAACATAACATGAATGCTTATCAACATACAAATATAACACACTGAACCAAAAACTCCCATGAACCATAAACTTCAGCCAACATGTAAGGATAATCTCCCCTGAAACAAAAACTCTTGCCTACATGTAAGGATAAACTTCCTGAATGACAAACTCCTGCTACAAGTGGAGCAGGTTGATTAGTGGAATTTGATAATCAATAACTTGTTAATGAATTACATTCAACTAATTGATTATTCTCATGAGAGTTGGAATACTCAAAAACAGTTATAACTGGTAACATTAATTTCCATTACTCAATTATTTATGTAAATTGTGACACTAATTGATTAAGCTGAACAATCTTGAATAAATATAAAATAATAATGATAAATCATAATGGCAATATTTCCGTTACTTGAATATTTGGAATGTAATCAAAAACTGTAATAATTGGAAACGTTAATTTAAATTAGTTGAATATTTTTATGAGCTTAACTAATTCAACAGTAAATTTCATTACTGACTATATTAGCTGACACAAACTAATGTAATTAATGCTCATAGATGATCAAATAATTGAGTCAATCACCCACCTCTAGTACAAGTAAGGGTAAAAAACCCTGAACATGAATTGCTGTCTACATGTAAAGATAAAAAACATGAACATGAATTACTGTCTACATGTAAGGATAAAAAACCCTGAACATGAATTACTGCCTACATGTAAGGATAAAGAACCCTGAACATGAATTACTACCTATATGTAAGGATAAAAAGCCCTGGACATGAATTACTGTCTACATGTAAGGATAAAAAACCTGAACATGAATTACTGTCTACATGTAAGGATAAAAAACCTGAACATGAATTACTGCCTACATATACTGCCCTGAATTGGAAACACCTGTCTATATATACTGCCCTGAATTGGAAACTCCTGCCTACATATATTGCCTTCAATTGGAAACTTTTGCCTGCATATACTGCCCTGAATTGAAAACTTCTGTCTGCGTATACTGAGCTTCCAGTTCAGGGACTGTCTAAATGTACTACCCTGAATTAGAAACTCTTGCCTACATATACTGTCCTTAATTGGAAAACTCCTGTCTGAATAATGCGATGGTCCTCTCCTAGTGTGCCAACGGCTCTCCTCATTCAGCCACTAGATCATCTACAATAGCACTGACTAGCTCAACTTAAAAACTGTTTAAACTCTTAAGAAAATTACAAAAACTATTCATGTACACTGAACAAGTGACATTTACATGCTCAGTGGTGAAGACAATCATGTTATTGAACATAGATTATGTATGTAAGTTAACCTATTTGAAACATTAATATCAGGCACCAGTAGACTGTATCCTAAATCGTAAGTCCAAAATAAATGTGGTAAAAACTAAAACCTACTAAATCCTTCCTTAATTCAGCAGTGTTTATATCCTACAGCTCATCATATGGGAGTATCACATGTTTATAATAATTTACATGTCTCTGCATCACAAACCAATCAACAACAAACACCCTCTACATTCAGTGTCATAGTTTAGGCTTAGACAAGATAACTGCACAAAATGTAAAAAGTAAAAACTTGTAAGTTACTATTAATATAAGTAATGCTTGTGTAATAGTGTATAATGATATGACAATATTCGTTTCATGTAATGGTAACGTACCAACAGATGCCTATATTTGAAAAAAGAAATAAAGCTAGCTTAGTTTCTTACAATGTATACGGATAGAAATACCTGAATCAAAAACTATTGTTTACGTGCATAAATACAAAAATCCCCAATCCTAACACTCCTGCTCGCATGTGTGGAAAAAAATTTCTGAACTGGAAACTCCTATCTATATGTAAGGATAAAATGCCCTCAATCACGTGGTGTCCAAAAAGGAGTTTAATGTTATAGCAATAATGTCTTACGCTAGAAAAAACATACACGAACAAAAACCTGATAGTATCATCATGAAAGTGGCAGGCACAAAACTGATACTTTAACCAAGAATCTCCTGCTTACGTGAAAACATAAAACACCATAAATCAGACTTCTACTAAAATGTATAAATCAAAACCCCTGAACTAGGAACACCTGAATACTTCACTATAGTTCAGAATAGCCACACACCATTTACCATTTGCAAAGTTAATATTTTCACACACTGAGAATGTATTTCCAATACATTCTTACCTCCTCTCACAAAAAGCTTTCCTAAATTAGTACTGTCCTCTATCGGTGCAAATTTTCAATGTTCCCCACTAGCCTTCCACCTCCCACTTCTGCATATCCACATGTAAATGATCATGCAGCAGCTCTCCACCAATAGGAGCATGACACAATCCCTATTGTAACTAGCACCCTCTCCACATGCACACTCGTTAATCACTTCCGATTGGTAAGAAAACCTATACCACAAATCATTGTATATACATTTTCAGTTCAGGAAAATTTTAACTTTCGATACAATATCTTACCTCTTCTCACAAAATAGCTAGGATCTCACATTGAACTGGTGGAGTGTTGGTGAAAAAATGATCCCCATTTAGAAAGCACCCAAAGAGAGAACATAAGGTGTGGAACCAAAAGAGAAAAACATCACACTCCAGCAGGAAACCGCACCACATGTGATCTAATTATACTCTTCACTCTTTTATGACAGTGTTGCAAACATAAAAGGTGGAAAAACATATTAACTATTAATGGTACCCCTGGGTGTTGAGTAGCTAGGGTGCAACAGACTGTAGTGATAGTTCAACCTCATCCAACACCTGGCAGTATATGGAATTGTACATCAGTTTCGCATTAGGCAGAGGATCACTATCTCTTCACCAAAAAATGGGAATTGGTAGGGAAGATGAGCTTCCGTGCCAGAAATCGTCTCCACTTGCTCGTATTTCCAACCCAACAATTCCTGAACCGACATCCAGTGGATGGTAGTAAGGTGGAAAGCCCTGGTTTAATTTTACATAATTATAATAATACATAGACTTAAAATAAGACCTAAATCTTGAGCACTTTCGAATAGTTGACTGTTCTTCTTCATTATTCTTATTCTAACTATAAACTCACCTCATTAAATCCTGTATCCTAATCGCTTCCCTTAACAAGAACTTAATCATTCACTACAGATAATTGTGAAATATATTCATATTTCTGTAATAATAGTAGAATATAAGTATCTTGTGAAATTTTGAAATGATAAACATATGAATAGGGAGTGTAGTATGTCCCTACATTTATTCCTGTAGAAATTCCCTCTCGTTCTTCAAGGAAAGAATCACGGTCGCCATGTAATGATGTATATAGAAAACAGGAAATGTATAAAAACAGTAAAATATATTAGTTATTACTATAGACTATAACATCGACCAGCATGTTATTCTAGGTTAAGGCCATGATTTCTTCGTTACATAATGTACTAATAATGATGGTAGTACTTGTACTACAAGTAGTGTCTAGTACTACTAGATAGTAGTCTTAGTCTTACCGATTGAACTACCGATTTGCGACTAGTATCAGAAATCGCAACAACATCATTTCTCATTCGTTTAACTGGAACTAATGCTCCTTCCTCGGCTTTTCGCTTTTCGGTAAAAGACATAATTTATTCAAAATTTAATATAAACTCAAATGTCAAAAAGAAAGTTTTATTTACTTAGGCCTAACCCTCACAATTCACGGTAACTTCCAGTCTATGTGTTACTGACAGCGTCCTCTATTTATTGATCAAAATATTGGTTTTGATCATTTTAAAAAGTATATGCATAAAACACTATAAACCTATTTATTTGATATAAATTGGTATATTATAGGAAGTAAAAGTACAGCGTAATTTTCTAAACTCATAATGAACATTCGATTATAAATTTATTTAAGTAAAATGCACAGTCGTTTTATAAATGTTGTTTGAGGTTATATTTGGTATATGGTATTTTCAGATACACTGATTTTACCTCAGAATCAATTTAAAAAGGGTCTGCAAAAGCAGGAGATCTGACGAATACTATTGTTGCGTCGATGAGGTCACGTGACTAGTGTCACGCCACGTTTCTAGAACTATCTTGTTCCTTCGTGAATGCCCTAGCATTTACTAGATATATGTTTGTCTGGTATTGTTACGTCTCCGCTTGTTAATTGATTTTTCGTAACTTCGTTCC